AAAGATGGCATTTATTATTTTGAAGTATGTTTCTTTGATGCCTAGCCTGTTAAGGGTTTTTATTACGAAGGGATGTTTAATTTTATCTAAGCTTTTTCTACATCTATTGAGATGATTGTATGATTTTAATTTTTAATTTTTTAATTTTTTTTGAGATGGATTTTTGCGCTGTCACCCAGGCTGCAGTGCAATGGCGTGATCTCGGCTCACTGCAGCCTCTGCCTCTTGGGTTCAAGTGATTCTCCTGCCTTAGCCTTCCGAGTAGCTGGAATTACAGGCACCTGCCACCATGCCACCATGCCCGGCTAATTTTTGTATTTTTAGTACAGATGGGGTTTCACCATGTTGATCTCGAACTTCTGACCTCAGGTAATTTGCCCACCATAGTCTCCCAAAGTGTTGGGATTACAGATGTGAGCCACTGTGCCTGGCTAATTGTATGGTTTTTGTTTTTAATTCGGTTTATGTGGTAAATCACATTTATTGATTTACATATGTTGAACCAGTCTTGCATCACAAAAATAAAGACTACTTGATTTTGGAAAATTCACTCTTTGATGTGCTGCTGGATTTGGTTTGCTGGTATTTGGTTGAGGATTTTTATATCTATGTTCATCAGGGATATTGGCCTGTAATTTTTCTTTTTTCATTGTGTCTTTGTCAGGTTTTGGCATCAGGGTAATGCTGACTTCATAGAATGATTTAGGAAGAAGACTCTTCTCAATTTTTTGGAATAACTTCATTAGAATTGGTCCTAGCTATTTCTTGTATGTCTGGTAGAATTTGGCTGTAAATCCGTCTAGTTTGGGCCTTTTTTTCCTTTTGGTTGGTAGGTTTTTTAAATTATTGATTTAATTATGAGCTCAATATTGGTCTGTTCAGGGTTTCAATTTCTTTCCTATTAAATCTTGGAAGATTGTGTTTTTCCAGGAATGTACCCATTTCCTCTAGATTTTCTAGTTTATCTACATAGAAGTGTTCATAATAGTCTCACATGATCTTTTGTATTTCTGTGGGATTGGTTGTAATGTTACCTCTGTCATTTCTGATTGTGCTTGTTTGTATCTTCTCTCTCTTTTTTTCTTTGTTAATCTAGCTAGCAGTCCAGACTGGTTTTGGCTGACTCACAGAGGACGCATAGTAAGGGTTTCGTGTCCTCAGCTTCACCTTTTAACATCAAATGGCTGAAAACTCCACCCTTGGATCATGCTAATGCCACCATTTTTTGAACATGCAAAACAGTAAGAGGCATAAAGCTCAATTGCACATGGTCATGTTTCTCCTTTCATAAGTATTTGTGACTTCCACTAGAACTTATTGAACATGTATACTTAGCCAGCTCATTCAGCATAAATTCCTGGCTTATCCTTCCCTCCCTCAAAGTGCATGCTCTCAGCTTCTGCTGGATGCCATGCTTCTCTGCCTGCAGGATGACCAGCCTACAGTAATCAGACATCAGTAATGTCTGATTAGTGGACTCTTCTCTGAAGGATGATATGAGAGATGAGATATATCTGCTCCACTATCTCAGGGAACAGGGATGGATTATAGCAGTATCTAAATATGAACTCGTTTTACTTTTGCATCTCAATTTGCATTCAAATCAGTAAAGCCCAAAGAGAGGAAGAACAGGACCTGCCACCTGTCTTCCTTGGTTGTCTAATTAGCACCCATGTAGGACAGAGAGAAGAATCTGGTTGTATTCATTGGGATTTAGCAACAATAGACAGGTGTGGCTCAGGATGAGGCATAAACTCTTCCCGTAATTCTTCTAAAGTTAATGTGGTGGGAGATGGGAGGAGAAAAACACCTGTCTTATTTAAACAGAGTTAAAATAATATAAAGCCTTTTCTGACCATGGGAATCTTTGTCCGGTTTTGAAGTTTTTCTGTACTTACTGTGCTCAACATATAATTTAGCCCTTAATTACCTCATGTCATGATATTCAGTTCCATGTGTGTTACTCACATCTCTCCAAAAAGATTGGAAGCAGTTTGAGGAGACAGATCATGTTTCCTCTTCTGCAAGACCCAGGTGCCAAGAAATGCATACAATGAGCTCAATAATCACATCACATGTTAGGAAAAGCCAAGATATTTTAGCTATTTATATTTAAAAACTGGCTCACTATATGAATTAAAAAACTGAATCTACCTAACCTCTCATCCAAAGGTGGATTCCACATGTACTAGAGACCTAATGTAAAAGATAAAACTATAAGGTTAATAAATAACATAGTAAAATATTTTTATGTCTTAGAAGGGAAGGAGGACTTCTTAAAGAAAAGCTTCAAAATACAATCATAAGGCAAAACAGTGAAAAAATGATTACCTCAGTTACAGATTTCTGTTTTGTAAAGAACAACATGGTCAATATTAGTAGAAGACAGAATGGATAAGTGCAGTGTCTACAACCAACACACTATCAATATCTAGAAAATGTAAAGAACTTCTGCAAAGCAATACAAATAAGGTAAAAAAGGAAGTCTAACAGAAAAATAGGCAAAGAATATGTACAGGCAATTTATAGAAATGAAAGTCCAAAAAGTTAGTAATTATACATAACAATGCACAAACTCATTAGTAATTAGAACATGCAAAGTAAATCACAGATAAAATACTACTTTATACTTATTAGTGTGGCAAATTCAGAAAGTCAAATAATATGAAGTGCTGTAGACTGAATGTTTATGTTCCCCTGAAGTTTATATTTTGAGATCCTAACTCTCAAAGTGATGATAGAGGAGATGGGGCCTTTGGAGGATAGTTAGGTCATGAGGGTGGAGTTCTCATGAAAGTCATTCGTGTCCTTACAAAAGAAAGTTCTCTTATGGCTTCTGCCATGAGGGACACAGCAAGGTGGTGTTCTATGAACCAGGAAGCAAGCCCTCACCAGACATCTGCTAGATCCTTGATCATCTTCATCTTGGAACCTTCAGCCTCCAGAACTATGAGAAATAAGTGTTCATTGTTTAAGATACCCAGCCTATGGGATTTTTTTGTTGTAGTAGCCTAAACATACTAAGATACTAAGTGTTGGTTAGATGTGGGGACATGAAATCCTCATGCATTGTAGATGGGAGTGCACACTGATTCAGCCATTTTGAAGAGCAAACCTGTGCCAAATGGTCAAATTAAGTATATGTGCATTCAATGACCTAGTAATTCTGCTTCCAGAAGTACTTGCATGGTCTATAAGGGGGTAAGTAGGAGTCTGTTTAGTGTGGCATTTCTTGGCATGACAGGCACGTAAAGTATAGTAGATACACACTATGAATTAGCAGTTAACAGCAATAAACTAAAGGTATATATAGTAACATAGATCTTTTTAAAAGTTCTCAGTAAAAAGAGGTGAAACAAAAGTGATTTATAACACAAAATATAAGTTAAAAGCATGTGTATGCAAAACAACAAAACATATTTTTGTAAGAATGAATACAAACAAAAGAATACCTCATGAAACAGAATGGTTGCCTGCAAGGGGGAGGGTAAGCGCTTATGCTATGGTGATAAAGGAGGATAAATAAATAATGCAGGTACCCATGATGATAAAGGAGGATACCCATGATGATAAAGGAGGATAAATAAATAATGTAGGTACCCATGATGATAATATGTCCTTATTTAACTTAGTCTTAGCCTTTGAAGGAACACATGCTTAGCTGAAACTTAAAAGTCCATTTTTAAATAGAGTTTCTGTTCATCATGCACTTCTGCATTTCTCTCACTTCTTTTAGAGCTTTTGCATTCTTGTCCGTTTACTTCAGTGAAGACAGAATTGCTTAGTTAACTTACAACAACAACAGTAACCGTAGTGTTGGCCATAAAACATCAATTAAACAAATTTCAAAATTTCCCAGTAAATTGTAACATTTTCCATCATTCAAAGCATGTGTTTATCTTTTTAACTAAGGCAAGTTAAGAGTTTTCTTTTTTTACATTGAGGAGGTTATGTGGAGTCACTTAGGACTGGAGGAGTAGAGGAGGTATTTGGGTGTATAGGTGCAGGCTCCAAGTTCATCCTAGCATAACTCAAGAATTGATTGCAAATGCTCTTTTATAAGATGCTCTGCATGTGAAAGAATGAAGAATCTATATCAACCTGTGGACAGTAACTATTGGTTGGGAAAGATGAAACCACAAAATTAAAAAATTGTGCATGATTTAATGTTAACTGAAAATAGAGATTATAAACTCTACGATATTATTGTAAATATGATGCCATTAGGTATACTATGGACAAAGAGCAAATTATCACAGGAAGAAATGACAAATGATTTGAGAAAGAAAGTGTCTTAAAAATGGTTCTTTGACTAAAACAAACCAACACATTTGTCCTTTCTTTCTTTTTAAAATAACTCTCTGCTTCTGTGCTTCCTTGTCAGAAAAATTAATTTGAACCTAGTTATCGAGTGAGAGTTCATGGGCATTCTGAGTGGAATGATTATATAACTGAGTGTGCTTTTTTCTTTTTGGGAGCAGTCTTGCACTTTAGCTTTAACAAAATTATTAGCATTTGACTTGATTACTACAAAATAAGTCTGAGTTTTTGTCTTTATCAATATACTTACAAGATGAACATAAATTCTGAAAATACTCAAAATCTTAAAATGTAGTCTTACAAAAAAGTGTGTGGACTTATAAAAACTAGTTTTGGTATGATTAGGCTTTTCTTCTGGGGAAACTTAGTGGAATTGGGGAAGAAATGGGCTAGGATATCTTGGCCTCAATTCTCTTACCTTTAAATAAGGTAGTTGAGTTAGAAAGAGGGGCTTATTAGAATCACCCATTTGTTAGACATGCAGATTCCCTTACTCCCTTCTCCCCACCTACCCATCTCATCAGACTCTGATTAAGCAGGTCTGGGATGCGGCCTAGCAATCTGCAAGATGATTCTAATGTGGGTGGTCTGAAAATCATGTTTTTAGAAATGGAGAAATGATCCACAAAATCCCTTCCACTTACATTATTCTGTGATAAAAAGAAGTTTACCTGACTCACCAAATTTTCGGTCGTCTCTCGTAAGTCCTTAAGTTGATATGTGTTGCTTTGTCCAAAATTGTTATTGATTTGTGGATCTAAAATTTTAAAGGAGCCATGATAGTACTCCATTTTTTGGTCTGTAATGGAAATGAAAAATAGGAAACTAAATGGTTTGGACAAAGATTTCAGAACCTAATTATAGTGGGGCCAATATAAAGTCTTGAATATGTCCCTGAGCTCCTTCATATTTGAATTTTGTTTAAAAAAATTAATGTTTTATATTAATTATAATAGCTGCCATTTATTGAGTTTCTACAATATGCCAGACACAGTCCTGTGCAGTTTTCATGAATTAGCTCATTTAATCCTCACACCAGCTCTCTAAGATTGGTATCATCTTCATTTTACAGATAAGAAAAGTAAGGCACAGAGGCGTTAAGTAACTTGTTCTATAACTAGTAGGTGGCCTGTCCAAGCTTTAAATCCAGTCTAGCTGTAGAGCTTGAACATTTCATTGCTACATTGCTCCTTGCTGAGTTGAAATGTGTACCACCATACGCTCTAGTGGTAGTAGAGATAAGTGAATGTCCTTGTGAATTTTGATGTGTAACAAGACTGTCAGGCACACTAAGAAAAATTTGAAAAGAAAGTGTAGAGAGGAGCTGTCTTGAGATTGAAGACGAGACTAGTGTGCAACAGGGATAAATCTATTAGGAAATATAAGAAAGGAAAGTAGTTGGGACTCCTAAGGAATTTGGTAATCTGAGGAGTAAGGCCCAGAGTGGGTAAGACAGCTACAGTGTTAAAGATAGAGAATGGAAAAAACACAAGACAACCTAAATCCTTGAGAAGCCTGGCTCAGGGAAGAGGCAGTGGGTTTCCAGACTACAAATTAAGGAAAGAAACAGGGATATCAGGAAGGCGTATGTCTTAAGTGGGAAATCTCTGACCTTGTAATATTTTTTTGGACGTCCTGATTACTTATCCATGTAAGTCATACTGTAATCAAACCTTACTCTCATTGGGCTTTTATGCAACCACATAAACAGACCTGAGAATCTTTTGCCAATGGTATAAACTACAGCTGGAGTTGTCATATAAGGCCTAGGACTATGATCTTAAGCCCTTTAAGGCTCCAAATAGAGTCTTTGCTCCCCCATTTAGTCTGTGGAAGGTGACGACAGATAAGACCATTAAAGTGAGCAGCCTGAGTTATTTATCACATACATTCATGTGAGAGTGACATTGTAGAGATTTGTCAAAAAATATAAATGGCTTGTATTCTCAGAAAGAGACTCAATATAAAAAAAGAATCTTGAAGCGCATTATTTGTGTAATTACAAGTATATTTATTGATAAAAATATACTCCCTGAATATTGTTTTGGCAAGAGTAAATTTTTTTCTCTAAAAATAAATGATAATATTGTGTTATACTATAGGTTTTCAATCACTTTAAAATTCCTTATTTTATTAGACAAGTGCTTTTCTTTTGCTTTAGAAATGTTGGACAGAAAATGATAGTTCATGAGTAAAAGAGCCAATTTTAACAACGAATTTATCATACCTTTTCATTTTAATATATAATAAGTGATGGGTTGTTTATTATAATTACTAGTAAGTTTCAGACGATTACAATTTTTGATCTTTTTGTGTAGATTCTCACACAAATCTAGATTGAGAGTTCTAAGGAAATTGGAAATCTGTCTACTTTGATTAAGCTGTATCCTGAGTATCCAGAAAAGTAGTCACATATAATAAGCATTTAGTACTTGCTTATTGATGAAATGACTGAAACAATTAAACATACTCTGTGGAAATTTGCAGGTAAATGTGCAATTTTTTAGATGAAATTACATTTACATATATGTAAATGAAGCTTTGCCGAAAAATAAAATCAAATAGAGTGAAATCCTTAATTTTACTTACGAAATACTAGGAAGTGAACCAGGAGACCTATGGTCACTGCCACCACTGTCAGGGACAACACAATGAGAACGGCAATCATCCATGGCTCCAGATACCTTCTTTGGGTGCCAAATCCTACCGTCCTGCAAAAAGGAAGGGCCCACTGGTTACTCTCAGATAGTAATGCTGCAGGTTTTCAGCTCTCCTTAGACAAGTTCAAGCTGCTGTAGCCTGCCTTTCCCTGCAAAAAGTTGTTGGTCTTTAATTTTGTTCAACGTCATCTTGGCCTGAGAAGATGTGTTTTAAAAAAAAAAAAATCAGGAACTGGGAATCCTAATGTTGCTCCTGGTTTCTATTCTACAGGCATTAGATGGCCTCTTTGTGGCAGTCAGGAATGGTTTCTCTTAGCAGCATGGTCCAAGGTGGCACATATGCTTGAAAAGGGACCATTCCGCCTTTCTCCAGCACTTTATTATCTCTTTCATCTATCTATCACTTTAGAGTCTACGAAGTGATTTTAAATCTATATTATTTTTATCTTTTATCTTTTATTTTTAACTATTATGAAAATGTTCAGACAAAAAATTACTAAGAATAGTATAATTGAACATCCATATTTTTATATATATATATAATGTTATTACATCAATTGTTAACACTTTTGCCATATTTGGCTCATTTATTTTTTTCTGCTGCTATATTTTAATGTGAAATAAGACATCATGTCTTTTTACCAAATCATTATTATAAACAATTAGGATATGTCCAACATAACCATGATACTATTAACACTCCTAAAAAATTAATAATATATCTGCCATATCATCTAATGCCCAGTCCATCTTCAATTTCCCTCCATGGTTTCATTATAATTACAAATGGTTTGTAAAAGCCAGGACATAATCAAGGACCGTGTAGTGCACTTGGTTGTTATGCCTTTTTAATCTCTTTTAATCTAAAAGAGTCCTGCTTCTTTTTGAGTTTTTAATGACATTGACCGTTGAAGAGATCAAGCTAATCGTCCTTTAGAACATCTTACTTTCTGGACTTGTCTGAATGCTTTCCTGTGGTATTATTTAACTTGTTCTTCTATAATCCCTCATTTCCTATAAATTGGATTACCTTTAGATTTTCTTTAGATCTAAAGTCTCGATTAGATTTTGGTTAAATTCGTTTGGCAAGAATACTTCAAAGGTGGTGCTGTGTATTTTATATTACATCACACCAGGAATAAAAATTTTTCCACAATTTTGGAGGAAAAAATAACTCTGCTGTTCTTCTGGCACCTATGACCAGCAACAGCACTTATCACATTGAATCAAATATTAGTTTGCGTGTATGTTCACTTACAGATAGCTTCTCAATGGGCTACATTAGTCTTGTTCATCTTTTTACCACTAAGACCCAATAAGGCACCTGGTACAGAGTAGGAATCATATAAATCTGTGAGAGTCAGGCAGGAATGATACTAACATTACACAGGAAATAACAGAAGATGAGAGGGAGGATATCTGTTTAAGGGCCCAGGTCAACTAACTCCTGTGCTTGTTCTCTAAAACTTGCTATCATAGTGAATTTTACTTATCCATTTTATCGGAGTTCATCTCTTTATGTGTATATATTGATAGTCTAAATTTTTTTTGGAAAGAGAGGATATTTTTCATAGTTTCTTCACAGTATCGGTTGATTTATAAAAAGTTTTTCTTTTGACTACAAAACAGGGTTTTTTTTGGTTGTTTTTATGTGTTTTTTTTGTTTGCTTATTTGTTTTTTTGAGACAGAGTCTCGCTGTGTCACCCAGGCTGGAGTGCAGTGGGGCGATCTCGGCTCACTGCAAGCTCCGCCTCCCGGGTTCACGCCATTCTCCCGCCTCAGCCTCCCGAGTAGCTGGAACTACAGGTGCCCGCCACCACGCTCCGCTAATTTTTTGTATTTTTAGTACACCGTGTTAGCCAGGATGGTCTCCATCTCCTGACCTCGTGATCCGCCCACCTCAACCTCCCAAAGTGCTGGGATTACAAGCGTGAGCCACGGCGCCCAGCCTTATGAAAGTTTTTTTAATATATGAATGCCAGGATAAAAGGTAAAACTGTTTGGACCTAAAATAGTTAAGAAGATAATAGTTTGGCATAAGTAATAAAATTAATCAAGAATCCTAGTGGAATGTGAGAAAACTGAATTCTATTGAGTAAATATTGACCATGTGCGCACTGACTGATTAAAAATAATCTAGAGAACTGGCTGTGGAAAGGCAGCAGGTCCTCTGATAGACACGAGCTAACATGCTTGAATAGAACAACAAACAGAAGTCCCATGGGACGTGACATTATTTAACATCTTAAATGGCTTAAAACATATATTCATAAGTGAAGGAGAAGTTAAAGACTGTTTAGTGTAATTGAATTACTTTCCAAATGAGGAAAACGAAGTCCAGTGATGATTAAGTAATTTCTCCCGTATAATAGAACTACTAGTTATCTCAAACTCAGGTCTTCTAACTTCTAGGACACAAATTTATTCTCAGTGCCTCTCGATTGATTTCATTCAAATTATTGAATAAATTTATCATTTATGTATTAATCTATTCATTCAGTCATACATGTTCAATTTGTTCAACCCTTCATTTTCTCATAGAAGCTTATCAATACGCCTTCAAGTCATTTGAAAAGAAAAAAAGACCAAAGGAGAAAAGTTAAAACTCAAGGAAATTTATAAGCTTTCAATCCATTTTCCAATTAGAGTACGGTTCCTTTGAGTAAGATAAATGGAGAAAGTAGATGAAAGAATCACATTTCCCACCACCAAGACACACAAAGTCATACTGATAGGAACTGAACCGTGGGATCAGAGCTGAAGAGTGGTTCAATACCCATTGACATACTGATCAAGTGTCATGGAAGTCATATCTTCAAATCCCACAGAAGGAGCTGTGAGCATCTGAGGGAAAATGGTGGCCAACAGACTAGAGTGATAAGTTGTTAAAGAGTGTTTCTCCTTTTGAGGAAACATTTAGATAGTATAGCAGATGTGCACTGCCAGATTACAAAAGCTGCAGAAGCCATAGGATAAAGCTGCAGCTACTAAATCCTATATGAATAAATTTTCAACTTACTGCCCACTTTTATCAATATAAACAAGGAATACATAAAAACAAAAATGTATCACCACTGGGCGTGGTGGCTCACGCTTGTAATTCTGGCACTTTGGGAGGCTGAGGTGGGCAGGTCACTTAAGGTCAGGAGTTCAAGACTCTCCTGACCAACATGGTGAAACTTCATCTCTAGTAAAAATACAAAAATTAGCTGGGTGTGGTGGTGTATATCTGTAATTCTAGCTACTCGGGAGGCTGAGGCACCAGAATTGCTTGAACCCAGGAGGCGGAGGTTGCAGTGAGCCGAGATGGTGCCACTGTACTCCAGCCTGGGTGACAGAGCGAGACTCCATCTCAAAAAGAAAATATCATCACCTTCCCATTCTGGAGAGGTCATATTAGTCATTTTTGGAAGATTACTTCAGATTTGAAAAGAAATACACTTGGTAAAGGCTTTTGGAATCTAACCTTTTTGAAATTAAAGATGCATCATTTTGCTCCTGCGTTTTTTTATGCTTTGCTTGTGTTGATAAAACAAACACGGGTGTATTAATTTTCTATTGCTTTGTAACAAATTACCACAAATTTAGCAGATCAAAGCAACACCTATTTATTAGCTCACAGCTCTGTATGTGGCATGGATGGGCTTTCTGCTCAGGATCTCACATGGATGAAATCAAGGTGTTGATTGGGGCTTTCTCATCTGAAATTTGTGATCCTCTTCCAAGCCAATTTAGGTATTAGGCAGAACTCAGTTCCTTGAAGCTGAACTGAGGTCTCTGTTCTCTTGCTGGCTGTGAGTCAGAGGCCTCTCTCGGCTCCCAGATGCCATCCATTACTTGTCACTTGGCCATCTCTGTCTTCAAAGCCAGCAGTGGAGAATCTCCCTCACAACAAATCTCTCTCACACTTTGAATCTCTCTATTGGGAAAGCCCAGGCTCTTTAAAAATGTCATCTGATTAAGGTAGGCCCATCAAGGATACTCTCCTATCTTCAAGCCAATTGATTTATTGGGACCTTTATTATATCTGCAAAATGTCCTCACAGCAGCACCCAAATTAGTGTTTGACTGAATAATTGGGAGAAAGTGTATGTACACCAGAGGGTGGGAATCTTGGGGGCTCTCTTAGAATTCTGCCTGCCATAACTGAAAATACTATGACTTTCAGGAAAATGAACAGAAACCTATAGCCTTCAAAGAAAGCATGTGAGATTTAAATATTCTTTCATTTTTGTAGGGGTGGTGAGGGAGAACTATTTGATGAAAAGGGAATTTTATGGTAAGCATAGAATTAAAAATAACTAAGGGATATTTTACTGAGGTAGTAATTTTGGAAATACAAAGTAAACTCTTAAAAATTAAAATGGGAAGAAAGCTAAAAGTAATCCCTGATTATGACTACTTGACACTCTGCAGTCTTTGGGGATGTTATGGTGACTAAGAAAGAGCCCGTGGTGAGGTGGAAGAGCCTTGGTGGGCCAAGGCAAAGGTAGGCATCACCTTTGGAGGTCACCTGGCCAAACAAGAGATGGGGCAGACCCTTGTGGGACAGACAGCCCAAATGGATGTGAGTCCCCAGAGTACAGATGATCCTTATTCACAGTAACACATTATCCTTACTCAGAGTAGCACAACCTATAATTTCCATGAAATCCAATTAGACCAAATCCATTAGACCTTCATTCAGTTTGATTATTTGGGATTTAGAAGGATGCAATCATGCCAGTTTTTTTCTAAAGATGCTGTCAATTAAAACATGGTGATAATTTGAATAATTTCATGACTTTGCTTTCTGCAATCTTGCAGACTGAAAGACACATTCATTGAAGAATATACAAAGCCGTATGGATTGTTAATGATCAGAGTTGGGAATTGCAGTTTCTCAGTAAGAAAGTTCTAAGCTGGCAACTTCTGTGTATGTGAATTCAAAGACAACTTGAGTCAAGACAAAGACATTGTAAACCCTTTACTTCACAAGGGTCTTACTTTTCCTAGAAAAGCCTTTCCCTGAAGGCAGCCACTTAGGCAACTCCAGGATCACCCATATGCC